AAAAACGCCCCTTCGAAATACTTCCACCTATGGGAAAATTAACAACACCAAGAGGTTGATTTTATTAGAACAAGACACTCTACTGCCACCTGCTGGAAACATCCCGCAATAAACAACGCAAGTCTACCCTCTGTGGGAATGGCCCCATCCCCGCCTTTAGGCATGGTACTCTTGTTCAGTGTGTAACCTGCCCAGCCACGCATAGCAGCCCTGGGTCCAAAGTCACGCGATCGCAGCCCACCCATCAATCCCTTTCTACGTGCATGATTATGTTCCAGGTGAGTACTCTAAACTGACCTCTCTGCCTCAGACGGGTATCTCCACCAATCACCTAGCCCACAGCAGGCTCAACGGACTGACCCCTGAACACGCTCCTTGGGTGCTTATGCATTGAGTGCTGACTGGGGGGCAGGGATTGGCATCCAGCACGGGCTCTAACTTGCTGTGCGACCCCGGAGAAATCCTTAACCTCTCTCTGGGCCAGTTTTCCCTTCTGCAAAATGAAGCAGTTGACGTTGATCGTTTCCAGGAGCTCAGAGAGCTCTGACAGCGACCGCCCCATCCCAAACCCGTGGAATTGTGAGGAAAGCAGGAAGGTCGTTCCAACTGCTGATAGAAAGACAGTCAAGAAGACAACAGAAGACAACCAGGGTTTTTTGTTTTTTTTTTAATTAGACTAGGAAATATAATTTATTTTGTAAAAATTAATTTTGTTACAATAGGAATGCTAAACGTTATTTACAGATCGAAGTTTACAGACTCAACAGTGGTGGGATTGGGCCATCCCTGCAGCCCTACATCCCTGGGACACATAACGCATGTCCACGGCCCAGGCAGGGGGTCCAGCCCTTTGCCCCCAGGAGATCTGCTCCCTGCAGCCGAACTCCTGGTCACCTTCCCTCAGAGGGCCTACTAAGGGACCTAGCTCAGCTGCCTGGTTGCTGGGGAAAGGACCAGAGGGTCCTGGATCGTCCAGGAGATGGGGTCCCCCACACCCTCAGGAGGACCCCTGGCCCGGAGCTCTGGAGCCCGGGTCACTGCGAGAGAAAGCAGAGGGAGAGGCACGTAGAAGATACACCAACTGACCCTGTGGACTCGGAGAGGGCACATGCTCGCACCCGGGTGGGGACACGTTCCCGGAGGGGTACCCTGATGTGCCTGCAGATAAAAGCACACGCGCGCGGGGCACGCACACACGCAAGCACACACCCCGGAGATGAGAGACGTAAACGCCCACGGGAGGGCCCTGCAAGCCTGCGGTGGCCCCTGATCTGCCACTCTTGGCGGTACACAGGCCACGTGGGGCTGCCTCTCAGGCCTGACTCAGAGGAGAAATCTTGATCCTACCCTAAGGCGGGCAGCGTAGGGACGCAGCCACAGCAGCCTCAGCAGAGGTTTGATTGATGGAGGCAGCAAACCCTTTCTCGGCATTTCTTATAAAGCTGGACAATTTGAACCCTCCCAGGAGGCCCCAGCCAATCGGTTCTGTGCTCCAGGCCCTGGTGCACAATTTCTGGAAATCAGATGAGAAATGGCACGTGTGCGGCTGGCTTGGCCTCATCCACCAAGAGCTCCCGTCGTGGCTGCTGAGCGAGCGGGGCAGGGAGGAGGGGCCCGGCAGAACACGGCCTGGTTCCCTCCCACGAGAAACCCAGAATGACCGTGTGTGTCAGCACCCAAGGGCAGTCAGACAGCAGCCGCAGGTGTAAATAGGAAGTGAGGCCCAGAGAAGGCAGTCCTATGCCCAAGGTCACACAGCAGTTTACTGGCACAGCTGGAGCTGGGGTGCTGGTCTTTGGACTCCAGGCTGCCTGTGAGCAGAGACTGATGGGAAGGGTCCGGGTAAAGCCTCTCATGGCACTGGTCAGGCTGCTCTCTCCGGGCCATGCTGTCACCCCTGCCTGCACAGCTCAGGCCAGGACTCATCAGGGATGCTGAGCCCACAGCGGATGGGCACCTTTGGCAGGGAAGCCTCGAGGCCTGCGAGGCAACACCACACAGGCCCTGGGGCAGAGAGCCGTTGTTGCCAAGCCCTGAGTGCAGGCCCGGCTCCTTCAGCAGCGCTGATAGGAGAGATCCTCTCTCAAACCGAGCAAGCCTCTGTCCGTGGCCAACCTACCCCCCCCTCCCCGGGTCACCGGCAGGGGGCGAGAACCCCCATGAGCCTGAGTCCATGGCAGGGAAGGGTCGGCTGAGGTTGCCGGCTAGGACTGGAGCCCCCAAACCTGTTCTCCTCCCTAGAGACCAGACTTTCAAGGGCCAGGATGCGCCCAGGCTGGTCATGGACCAGCTAGGGCGAGCCCTGGGGTCAGTGCCCAGAACTTCTTGCTTTGCCCCGGGTGCCAGGGAGAGGCCTGCGAGGAGGCCTCTGTGCCAGCCGTAAGAGCCTGGTCCCGGCCATGATCAGCCAGCCCAAAAGGGATCCTGCTGGGCCCTTGGAGCATCCCGGAGCAGGCTGGTGAGGAGGTACCAGCCCCCTCCACTCTGGCAGTCCCGCCTGTTCAGACCTCCCAGACTGCAGTGGGAGGGTGAGAACAGGGCTAAGGGAGCTGCCGGTGGAGGTCAGAGCTGGGAAAACAGCCCTCCCCAGGTCCTCCTTCACTGGGGCGTGCACGTAGAGCACAGCCAGCCCGCCCACCTCCCAGCCTCCCGGCCCGCAGGGCTGACTGCTCACACATTCCGTAAAGCCACGCTGAGGCCCAGAAGCTCAGGCTTCTGCCGTCAGAGGCCCGCTTATCCAGCCCTCCTGCTTTATAGACGGAGAAACTGAGGCTGGGGGAGACCAGTTCCCGGATTCCTGGGCATTAGCGGAATGTCAATTTGCGCCAGCCCACCTGGTGTGGGGGCTGCTAGGTAGGGGGGTGACCTGGCTGCTCCCACCCTGGGGTGAAGGAGAGAAGTGCCCATGGGAGACTCTCCCCGCCCACTTCTTTCTCTGCTAGAGCCCCACTTCTGGGCCCCACCCCCTTTTCCAGGAGCCACCAGACCGGGGCACTGGAAACATTGTCCCTGGCTCACAGCTGGCCTGGTCTGCCCAGTTCCCATCCCTGGGCTTCTTAATCTGGATTCTCCAGGAGCCCAGGGAGCCTGTGGGGCATCTGCCTGGGGATGCGGGAGGGAGGACCCCAGCCCACTCCAGATCTCAGGGCTCCTTGCCTTTAAAGATTCAGCATCTGCTCAGAATTTTAGAGGGAAACATGGTACCATGGCTAAAACCCCGTTTGACCCCGTACACCTGGGGAAACTGAGGCCTTGTAGGAATTTAGCCTAAGACAGAACCATTAGCAGCAAGGTGTTCCCTGTTCTCTCTCTCCCTGATAATCTCTCTCTCTCTCTCTCTCACACACACACACACACCCCCACACACGCACACACGCTCACTCCTGGCCAGAACCATGAGCAAGCCCACACTCATCCACACTCAAGAAAAGAGTTTTCTATTTTTTTGTGTTGTTTTTCATTTTCTTTTTTTTTTTTTTTTTTTTTTTTTTTTTTTTTTTCTTAAAAAGGACTCATCCAAATATCTGGATAATAAATCATTTGCGTTTCCTAAGAAACTGGGTTTTTCTTTTCCCTTGTGGTTTTGGTGTTTCTCTTTTTTCTTCTTTGAGCCTGACTAGGGGTCTGAAGCTTTCTTTCTTCCTTTCCTTTTCCTTTTTGCTTTGGACGACAGAAAGCAGTTCGTCTGAATTGTACTTGACTCTTCAAAGAGGAAAACGGTGTGAAAGGAGAAGAGGACTTAGGCGGGAGGGAGAAACCAGTAACTGAGGAAGAAACCGAAGAACGCATCTAAGACAAATGTCACCCAGAGCTCCTGGGGCGGAGGTGGCTGGTGGGGGTGGGAGGAGGCAGGGAGGGCCACCTCCTGGCTCCCCTCGCTGCCTCCAGAGGCCTCGTCTCGGTTCCTCCACGGAGATCCAAGGGCAGGGGGGACAGCAAGGGGTGGAGAAGGAACACTGGGGCTTCCTGACAACAGAGTACATGGATTTTCTAAGGCTGGTCGTGGTCTGGGAATGGGGCAAGGGGAGGAGGAGGAGGGGGCGCCTCTGGCTGTGAGCTGGGGGGCAGCAGGGGCCGCACTGCCTCACACGAGGCTGCCTCCTCTGTGCCCGCCTCCTGCCAGCCCTCCCAGTCCACGGTCCGGGGCAGCTCAGCAGTCCCCGTCAGTGGCCATGGCCACCAGCATCTCACTCTTGCCCATCTCCTCCAAGGCACTCGCCAGGCTGTTGAGGTCCCCGTCATCCTGCTGCAGAGCTTCCCAGAGGTCCAGGATTACACCCGTGGGGCTCGCTTTGGTGGCAAAGTAGTTCAGGTACCTGGCGGAGGGAAGGAGAGGGTCACTGGGCTCCCCCAACACTCAGCACCTCCCGGGAGCTTGGAAGTGGACAGAGCACCAGGAAGTGGGAAGGCTCTGAGGTCCCCCGACCCTGGGTCGGAACCCTAGCCCCTCTGCTTGGGGGCTGTGTGGCCCTGGGAAAGCCACTGCTCCTTTCTGAGCCTCGGTTTCCTCATCCCTAAGATGGAAATTGTCTTGCTCATCATCATCCATCATCATTGTTATTATTACCCGTTGAAAGACACTGGCCCCAGGAGAGACTGTCCAAACCTAGCATTCCAATCTTTCCTCCTCCCGCATCTGTTCCCTGCTTGGTTTTGCCCCACACACTACCCGGAGAGCAGGAACAGAGCCTTAGACTCTCTGTAAAGCCCATCCATTTCTAGTCAGGTGTCTTCTACGTGGCATCTGCTCAATGCAGGTTTATTAAATGGTTTCTCAGTAAGTATAATGTAATTCTAATAATTACTATTGCCATTATATTTATGCAGCATTTTAGATTCTCCAGAAGGGCTTCGACACCAAAATACACCGTCACTCAGCAAACATTTCCAGAACACCTGTTCCGTCCTGGGCCCGGGGGTGCAGATGGTGATGACCCCTGGTGTCCTGGCCTCACCTGATCCTCACGGGCCAGCACGCTCAGTATGGCACTCCCCAAAAACGGGCTTCTCAGACTGAGCACACCCAAGCCTCAGCTCCTGATCTACCGCAAATGGAAGGATCTGAGCCTGGACTGTCGGGCTGCCTGCCCCACCTGCCCCTTGGGGGACAAAGGGAGGTTGGGGTGGGGCCGGCCTGGCCCAACACCCACCGGTCCATGGAGAGCTTCTGCGCCAATAGCCGCCAGTCATTGCCCCGCGAGTTGGGGGCATCCAGGCTGTTGCATATCTTCTGGCGGATGGACAGTGGAATCTTGAAGGCGTAGGGTCCCAGCTGGGTGGTGACCGTGCTGCCAGGGGCAGAGCAGAAGGCGTCCAGGGAGCCAGCAGGTGTCTAGAAGGGCAGGGGGCAAGGTGAGAGGGGCAGGGGGCTCCCCCATGCACAGCACTAGCATCCGCCCCTCCGACCTTCCTGCACGGGGACTGTGAGCTTGTGGAGGTTCCTCCCCACGCTCTGGGCAGGTCAGCTGCTCAAAAACCTCCTCCCCCAGAAGGTCGGCTTCCAAGGGCCAGGGCTGCGTGCCCAACGGTCCTTGCGGTGGACCAGGCGAATGCACTGTCCCAGGCTGATGTGGGTGCAGGCTCGTGATTCCAAAGCCATAAGGAGCCTCAGCCACAGTCTACTCCACACGGACGCACGTTTACACACGTGGGAATGAAGTCCAGAACGGGGAAGTGACTTGCCCATGGTCACGTGCCAAGTTCGGTAGAGAGCTGGGTCTAGGCCTCTGATCGGCGCTTTTTACATTGCCCAAGAAACTTCTCGCGCTGCTGGCCTGGGTGGCCTGGGTTTTGTAAACCTCAGTGTGGATGTATAGTGGAGGAGAGCCATAGGCTTGGGCTAAGCACTGACCTGACACAAGGTCAATGGTCTCTTCCTCCCTAAGACCTACCTTCTGACTTAGTCATTTCATCTGTTGCCTGGTACCGGCCAAGCACAGGACCAGCCACTCAATAAGTGTGCAGAAAGTGACGGAGTCCCAGCTCAGACCTGGGAGCTGACGGGGACATATCTACGGAAGGCAGCATCCCCATGCACGCGGGTCTGAACGCTGCCTCCCCCGGCCCCACGGGGTGTCTGTCCTCCCGCCTCACCTCTGCCAGCGTGGTGTGCAGCTGGCAGATCTGGCCCTCTCCTTCCACCTGCCGCACACAGATCTTGCAGGAGAGCTCTGTGGAGGCCAGGCTGTGCCTCTCCAGGGTGAAGGTGCAGTGCAGGGCCTTCTGGTTGCCACTCCAAATGTGATAGAAGGGGATCTCCTGGGGGAGGGGCGTCAGGGTCAAGGTGAGGCCAGCCTGCCCTGCCCTGCCCTACCCTCAGGGAATGGAGGCAGAGGCCGGTCAGGGGGCCAACCTCAGGGAGCCATGGGACCCCCCCCCCACACACCAGGGGGCAGGGCAGGCCTCTCCGTCCAGAGAGGAAGAGGAAGAAGAGCTGGTCAGGGGCCCTTCAGCCGAGAAAGGGAGCGTCTGGGGAAGGCGGCACAAGTCTGGATGCGTGCGCGCATGTGTGTATGTGTATGCACACACGCGCATGTACGTCTGGGGCTGGA